TATATATATTTTTTTTTTTCTGATTTGACATCAGTTTTTCCAGGCATGCTTTATTATATCCACAATATTGCATTGCGATACATAAGTCAAGGAAAGTCAAATATTAATTCGATACCGATTTCTTGCTTCGGCCATTTTTTTCCGCAGCTGTTATATTAGGTCATCCCACTCAAAAGCGGGAAGATTTTCTTCATATATAACGCGGGGGGAAATAGATAAACTGGCTGGGTTAAGTAGACCCCTCCTTCACCCATGACCCGCTCCTAAAGTCCCGAAAGCCTGTGTGGTACCATCCATTTATCAATCTGATTGTCGAGCAAAAGGCAATATACACCGACAGTGACGATTTTGTTCTCTATAGAGCCGCTTGAAAGCCACAGTGCAGAAATCCTTCGCTATGATGATCATCCACTTGGGCCCACGTAACTCCTCATGGTAGAACTCGGGCGGCTTCTCATCTGCATTCATACAAAATTGACGATTGTGAGTTCTCGAGGTCCAAGACCACCCATATTTCATCTGGGGCCGTGGTGGACTAAGAGTTGTGAATGACATCTCATGCTGAGAACATTACTGCTAGAGGCATAGAATCGGTACTGCGTTCGTGCTTCTACAAGAAAATTAGGTACCCATGCGCACACCCTCTTGACCATCCTCAGTTTATCGGACATAACTCGGGCAGCAGTTGCAGCAGGGATGTCAGTCTCGCGGGGAAGCTCGACAAAGGTCCAGGCTCTGTGATCAGACATTCAGCTTGACTTCATCCACCCTTTTTTCTTGTGCAGGATGAACATTATGGGACCATCCACGACAACAAATTTTTTCCTTTCTTCATTCTTCAAGCTCCAAATCTTGAACCATATCTTCCACCCTGCATTTTGAGAATACCATTACACGCAACGTCCAGCACGGGTCAAATTTAGCAGCGCACTTTCCTCTTATGACGCCTGATTTGAAAATCCGGCGCTGATTTTCACCACTCGGGCTTTTCAAATTCTTTAGATTTTCTTCTGCGACTAGGCTAGCAAAATTTCACGTATAGGTAGCTAAAGGTACTAGCCTCCAAATGGTATAGTAGCCCGCTGCCCTATCCCTTTTGCTTTCCTGCCATTCCTCTATATGTCTCCACATTTTTGAATAAGATGACCCAATCTATACCTACCTATATATACCGTTTCCACTTCGAAATCGGACACTTTTCAAACCAAATCGGACACTTTTCAAATCAAATCGGACACTTTTCAAATCAAATCGGACACACCCCTTACAATAGGCAGTTGATAACTAGACCACACTAGGTACTGCTGCAAGCCCCGCCCCAACATCCCCGCCCACTTTTCAGCGCGGTCACGGTTTTCCAAAATGTTTTATGAAATCTGCTTCTTCGACTTTTTTCACTTTTGCTAGTTGCACACACACTTCAACTGAAAAGGATTGGTACCGACACAGGTCTGACTCCGCCCACTTCTCAATGAAGTTACCGCAAGTTTTGAATTTTATAACTTTTTTCGACGTCGTTCTTTTCACATTCAATCTTCACAAAACGAATATACTCATAGCCATGCATTTACACACTAGCACACTAAGCCCCGCCCCTCTGACCACGCCCACTTTCGTTTTCGCGGAATTTTGATTTTTCTTCCGAATTTTCACTTTTTAGGCTGTAACAAGTGGGCCCACTAATGGAAGCTCCACCAGCTCCATATAGAAAGAAAAAATGGGGAACTTTGTTCCGAGTTAGGGGAGAGGCCATAACCTGCCAGTGCGGAAATCAGCCCGCCGGTCTACATCATTTTTTTAAAAGTGGGCGGGGCTTCTATTGGTGAGCGCAGCTATCTGTTACAGCCTAAAAAAGTGAAAATTCAGAAGAAAAATCAGAAATTCCGCGAAAAACACAAAAGTGGGCGTGGTCAGAGGGCGGGGCTTAGTGTGCTAGTGTGTAAATGCATGGCTATGAGTATATTCGTTTTGTGAAGATTGAATGTGAAAAGAACGACGTCGAAAAAAGTTATAAAAATTCAGAACTTACGTCACTTCATTGTGAAGTGGGCGGAGTCATATATGTGTCGGTACCAAACCTATTCAGTTGAAGTGTGTGTGTGTGTGTGTGTGTGTGTGTGTGTGTGTGTGTGTGTGTGTGTGTGTGTGTGTGTCAAATAGCAAAAGTGAAAAAAATTCGAAGAAGCAGAATTCATAAAACATTTTGGAAAACCATGGCCGCGCTAAGAAGTGGGCGGGGATGTTGGGGCGGGGCTTGCAGCAGTACCTAGTGTGGTCTAGTTCTCAACTGCCCATTGTAAGGGGTGTGTCCGATTTGATTTGAAAAGTGTCCGATTTGGAGTGGAAATGGTATATAATACCTACCTATATATACCTAATAACACTGACGTACGTGGACCCACGCCGGGGGGGGGGGAGTCACCCGTGTCACAGACCGTCGTCAACGTGTCAAAATACATCTGTGCGCATTTATTGAAGTATGCACCATCTGCGCGAATAACAAATATGGCCATTCTGGTAACAAGAACATGCCCCAGTTCTCGAAAAGAATCAACATTAGATTCGAAAAAGGTCGAATCTGGATTTTGGCGGATTTTCGATCCTGCGCAAGGTGCCCTTAAGGTTTCGAAGGCATGTCTCTGGAGAAGTCCACTGAGTTATGAATATGCACGAATCACCCTGTGTGTTGCCTGAATTTGATGGGCAGTGTTCACTGATCACGCAGCAAAATAACCGCAAACGACGACTCTAACTTTATGATGGCAAAACACTGATTTCCAGCACAGACTCACCACAGCACTCTGCGAAACGCAACCTGACTGGAAAGTAGAATGAACGGAACAAGAGTAGTTGCAAACAATATACCTTTGGCCCACTATAAGGACAGGTTCCTGCTCAAAACAGCCCCAAAGGAAAATCCATTACGAGGGAATCAGGAATTTTGAGACCTTCTAAAAGAGCCACGTAAACTTACTTGTCTACTGTGTTGATCCTGCGGGCTTATTTGAAGTGAGAGTGCAAATGCTTGTGAGTCAAATGTATCATCTTGAGCGATCACAGCACCGTGCACTCCACTGTCCATCAGATTACTGGCATAGGCTCCTAAGCCAATTTCTTCAACCCAACGTTGAACCCGCTCATTCGACCAGACGAGGAGATCTTAAAAGAAAAAATTTCTTCAACATATCTATAAAAAGAATGACAACCAGTAGGTTAATCCAACTATATGTAAGCAGCTAAGTTTGTCTGTTGGTGTGTGTGGGTGCGTGGGTGTGTGTCTGACCGGGAATTCATAACTATCTTTGATTTAGCCAAGTTCAAATTGAAAAGTGATGCAGTGGGTGCGACTGAAACATCATTGGTGGGTGAGAGAAAGCACTAATGTGGGTGGCAGGAAGTGTTAATTACTGACAAGTTCCGATAAGGGAGGATTAGAAATTGAAGGCTGCCTGATTAAAGACACATGGTACGCTCAAACACATTGAGGGTGTATGAGACTATCAGCCCCCAGCTGTCGATGTGTCGTGGTCCCCCGCCCAAAACTGCACGGGGTCAGAGTACGGGGCCGTGGGAAAGTCGTAATTCCTTGCTACACCGCCCTCACGTTTATGCTAACACCATCCGCGCGGCGCGGTCGCGTGCAGCTCTCTTGGCTTTTTGCCAAGTCCTGTAATTGCGCTTTGGAATACAAGTACAACGCAATTTCTTTATGCATTTTAGGTGCTGCAAAATAAGAACCGAAGATGATGACGAGGGCTAGAACTCAAGAGCAACTGTGCTGCTTCTGCAATATCCCTCAGAAGGCCGCGCATTCCACAG